TTAGGTAAACCAATCACCAAGTCTCTTTTTGTTAATTTTGAAAGTTAATTCATGTTAACATGTGCAAATCGTTTATGCCAAAGCCAACTTTTCTCATTTTTGCTAATAAAACAGTTTTCAAAAAGTTTTGAATCAATTTGAATAGTATAATAATTACCATCCCCTAGAGCTCTTAGCTTTACGTTCAATTCCTCCTTCAGTGGTAAGTCATCTTTGCTTATTACTAGGCATTCCTCTGAATCGAAGATATCCTAGTTGTTTTTGTTGGTACTCTGACTGACACTGAGTAGATTGTAACACAAGCCTTCTACTAGTACGCATTTCCAACCTTCATCCTTTTGTCACTTCCTATTTCTCTGATTCCAGTAATTCTTCCAGATTGATTGCCACCGAAGCTCACTTTGCTTCCTTCTCTTAGTTTGAGTGATGTGAACTTCTTGGTATCACCCGTCATATGTCTTGAGCAACCACTGTCAATGTGCCATTTGTTTTGTCTGGATGTATTGAGACACACCTATAACAGCACAATCATGTTTTAGGTACCCATACCTTCTTGGGTCCTTTTTGGTTAGTATAGATTGTCCTAGGCACATAAGCACCTTTAGGCATCCATTTTAATGTCCCGTAATTTCCTTTCTTATGATAACAAGAAGAAGTTGTGTGACCTTTACGGTTGCAATATGAACATAATACAAAGGATTAGAGGAATGAACAGTATTTCTAAAAAAGGTAAGATATGATCGACCACCACTTTTCTTCTTCTCTTTTCTCTTATCTTGAGTAGGATCATATCCTATGCCGGTTTTATCCATTGAGCACTGTTGGGCTCCTAGAATCACTTTGAGCATTTCACTACCCTTAGTGAATTTTTCCAAGGTTCTTGTGAGGTCCTCAGCTTTCCTTCTGTTTTGCTCACATTTCATACATACTAGAGGTGGAGTTGTGCTATTTTTTCCTTTGCTTGTTGTTCCTTCAGAAGCTTTATTTTTTGCTTGGAGCTTACCAACTTCTTTGCAATTCTTACTAATTCTGAATGTAATGCATTTTATTCAAATTGTAATTCATAATAGGAGGGTTGAGAAGTGATTACCTTATCTATCTCTGAATCTTCATCTTCCTAAGCCATGAGACAGATATTGGCTGTTTCTTCGTCGTTGCTCTCTTCTTCCTCTGAGGAACTATCTCTGTAGATTGACGCGACAAAGGCTTTCTTCTTTTCTTTGTCCTTCATCTTGGACAGCTAAGGACACTTTGCTTGATGTGTCTTGGCTTTTTACATTCGAAGCAGATGATTGGATCCTTTGGCTCATTTTGAGATGCGGAGGTTTTTGCGTTTCGATTGAACCTCCTTCTGGCTTTGTTTCTGTAGAATTTCTTGAACCTTCTAATTATGAGACCCATTTCATCATCTTCCAGGTCCTTTAATTTTCATCGTCATCTTCACTCTCTTAAGTTTTGAGGGCGAGGTCTTTATGATTCTTCTCGTTCATTTTTTTTGTATTTCTGCTTGCTCTCATACTTTGCTAGACTCCTAAACAGAGCTGTGACAAAGCCACTTGATTCTCCCTTTGTTTACTCAGTGGTCATTACATTTGGCTCCCATTCTTTCATGAGACCGCTTAAGATTTTCCTCACTTGATCCTCTTAACTATACTTCTTTTTGAGTGTAGTAAGATGATTGATGAGATGTGAAAATCTGACTTCCATGTCTCGGATGCTTTCTCTATCCTTCATTTTGAACAATTCAAACTCCGTGGTGAGAGTATTGATTCTGCTTTGTTTTACACCTGTTGTTCCCTCGTGAGCAATCTCCAGTGCCTCCCACATTTTCTTTGCAGTTTCCAAACTGAAAACTTGAAAATACTCTTTCTGGCTTAGTGCATAGGTTAGTATGTTGATAGCTTTATCATTTAGTGTCACTAGCCTCTTGTCTTCTTCATCAAACTCACTGGGACTCTTATGAACTTGTTGACTGTCCACTGTTTTCATTGGGATGTAGTTGCCATGTTTATTCACGTCCCATAATCCATACTCTGTAGCTTTGATGAAGATCTTTATCCTCATCTTCCAAAAAGTGTAGTTTTCTCTGTTGAAGCCAGGTGGCTTTGATGTTGAATATCTTTTGGGTATTACGCTATCTCCGAAACCTGCCATGGGATCTCTCTTCAGACTGTTAAGTCTTTATTGAAGAGACTTGCTCTAATACCAAATGTTTGTGGCAGTCTCACCCAAGAGGGGGTGAATTGGGTAAGTTATAAAAATTTAAGCACATTAAAATAGTGAAATAAATAAAAACAGAGAGAGTTGGGTTAGAAAGGTTTCACTGTAAAGTGTAGACATAGGATTTATACTAGTTCGATCTTAACCACTTGACCTACGTCTAGTCTTTAGAACACCTCTGAGATTTCTACTATGATCCAAGATTAATTGGGCTCTTAGTGCCTCAGTATAGTAATTGATTTTCTTAATCACTCCCCCTTACTACCTGTAAGGTTACAATTCTACTCAAGAGTCCACACTCTTGAGTTACTCTCAGAAAGAAAGTAAGGAAGGTGTATCAGTCTCTCTCACAGAGTAAATGAATGTGAAATACTTAAGCTCGGTAAAGAGGAAAACAGAGTATTGGATGTAATAATAAAAGTTTTTGCAGAAGGTAACTCGCGTATTCAATCTTGCATTCAATGCTTCTTTGTGCCTTTTATAGTTGAAGAAGTTTAATAACCGTTAGACGGAAGAGCTTCTAGCCGTTGAGAGTTCAGTTGTGTGTTTTCCCAATTGCAATGGTATTCACCATTAATGCTTCTGACATGGTAGGTTACAGGCTACTTAAATAACCATTGAATAATCGTTGAGCTTACTTCGTATTCTGTAGCAATATTTCAATCTAATAAGTTTTTCCTTCAGAATGAAACTCATAAAAATAATTGATCAAATGATAATAATATTCATGTGGTAGTTGAAAGGGAATCAATCAATCATCAGATCCAATAACTATGAACTGAACACACTTGATCGAAGCCATGATCAATAACTGGTTTATCAATTATGTTCTCGATTAATTAAGATGAAAGATTTTGAAATAGATAACTATGTTTATCGATCAAGTTATGGATTAACTAATGATCTATCAAGTGATCGATAAATGAAAAGAGTGACTTCAGAAAGATTATGTAGAGAAAAGGCCCAAGGTCACCTATGATTTTGAATTCCTTAAAATAGAGAATTAAGATAAACAGTAAGGCTGAGAAAAGTTTAAAAAGAAATATTCAGAAGTTTTTAAATCTCACCATAGCTTCTTGTTATTGAAAGAATTGGATCATTAATCGAATAAGTGATCAAAAAATGTTTGATCAATCAAGTTATCAATAAAGCTAAGCAAGTCAGAAGTTACTTTCAAAGAATATTGATCGAACATTTTATTGATAAATGGATGATAGAAAATTTGATTGATAAAAAGGTTTAACAAAGATTTTCACAAAAGGCATAAAACCTATTATGATCGAGTTAGTGATCGATTAAAGATTGATCGATCAAGTGATCGATAAAAATATAGTCAAGAAACTTGGTTTTGAAATACCAGAAAAATGTTTAATCGACCACGTTATCTAAAAACAGTATATTCAAAAGATTGAATGATTGATCATTTTATCAATAAATTAATGATCGATCGAGTGATCAAAGAAAACTTAAAACAGTTTAATCAGTGAAAAGGTGATGATCGATCATTTGATCGATAAACCGTTGATCAATCAAGTGATCGATAACTAACTTTTCAACAAACTTAAACATCAAGAAAATATCGATAAACAGGTAAGTTATTATGCAATGACAGAACAAGTTATCAATAAAGCTCTGATCGATAAAGTGATTGACAAATAGTGATTAAAACAGTATATAACTTATAGAACATGAGTAGGAAGCTTTACTATTTATCTGTTTTCTCATCAATAACTTATTTATCGATCATGTGATCGATAAACACTTACCAAAAATCATGTCTTATTATCTGTCAGTTGTTCAATCATTAGATTATCGATCAATTGATCGATAATTTTCTACAGACTTCTATACAAAATAATGTTAACAATGATCAATCAACACATACAATGTGATTTATCTATCAAGTTATCAATTAATATTTCTGCTAAATTACTTGTTTACATAGGAATTTTATCAGTAATGTGATTGATAAACCCTTGATCGATCAAGTGAGCGATCAACTTACCAAAGCATAAATTACTTTACTTGTTATCATCAAAATCTTTAAATCTAACAAGAACAAGATATAAGTGAATCGTCACTTTGAACGGATGATTCCAATAATTTGTTTTAGTAGAATAAAATGATCCCAATCACATGAAATGAACTGAGCTCGCTTCATATAGCGCCTTAGAACTTGAGAAAGACCATGTGTTCCTCAAATTCTTGTTTCAATGACAATAATCTTTGGGAGTCTCATGAAATCTAGTCAATTGATTACAGCTAACCCAATCCAGTCTTGTCAATATCTGGGAATCGTATCAGATGCATCGTTTTAATTGATTGCGGCAATACTCGGTTATACATAATTAATATAAAATAGACATGACATTTAAAATTCGTATATTTAATTTTTACAACTAAGAATTATAAGACAAATATTATAGTAAAATGAAAAAATATCAGACCACCTTTAATTAAAATATTAATGTCATTGTAATTACTGTCAATAATTGAGATTCCCATGTAGTGCACATCGATCTCCTCGCCTTCAAACCTTGAAAGCTTAATACGTCATGTATGATGCCGACTAATATACAGCTTTTGACGTACACGATTATAATTCTAGATCTTATATCAAGTCACGACAGATGGATGGTCGGCAGGTCTTAGCCCCACCTCGCTGTCCCCTTTGTTGTAGCTCCTGTAGGGGGGAAATATGAACATTATTCACTTCATCATTGCTTTGCAATGTTCTGGCTATAATTTCCCAGCTATACCAAAACATATCTAACATAATCATGGCGGCAGCAAACTCCGAAGCCTCCGATATTCCCAAATACCTCCAGAAAGTCGAATTAACCCAAGAAAACAAAGACCTCATTGCCACCTTACCTAGCGATTCGTTTTGGGAACCGTTTACAATCCATCAATACGATGGTTTCTGGCACACCACAAAACAATTACAGGGAACCCTCAATAGCCAAAAACACTTCAAAGCTCAAGACTCCGACATCCTTCTTATCACCTTACCGAAATGCGGTACCACCTGGCTTAAAGCCCTAGCCTTTGCAATTCTCAATCGCAAGATCCATTGTCCAAATACAGATTTTGATAAGAACCAGTCGCACCCCCACCCTCTCCTCACTACTAACCCTCATGATCTTGTACCCTTTTTAGACATCAATCTCTACGTGGATAAGGACATCCCTGATCTGACCTCACTTCCGTCACCAAGGCTCTTCGCGAGCCATATGCCATACATTTCATTGCCAGAATCTGTGAAGCTGTCAAAATGTAAGATTGTGTACTTGTGTAGAAACCCGAAGGATATGTTCACGTCATTGTGGCACTTTGTCTTTAAGTTCCTACGACTACGACAAGAGTCCATTTCAATCGAGGATTCATTTGAGAAGTTTTGTGAAGGAAGGATTGCTAGTGGCCCGTTTTGGGATCACATTTTGGGATACTACCAACAGAGTTTGGACAGGCCAAATAAGGTAATGTTTTTGACCTATGGGGAGTTGAAGAATGAGCCAGTAAGAGTTCTGAAGGACCTTGCTGAATTTCTAGGGCATGGATTTACTAAGGAAGAAGAGAATGGAAATATAATCAATGATATACTGAGGTTATGTAGTTTTGAGAATTTGAGCAACTTGGAAGTGAATAAGACTGGAAAGTTGTTGACTGGGCAAAATAATAGCATTTACTTTAGACGTGGAGAGGTTGGAGATGGTGAGAATTTTCTCACCTCTGACATGATTAAGAAGCTTGATGTTATTACTCAAGAGAAGCTGGGTAAACAAAGCGTGAACTTTCAGATCCATAAATCCTGACCTGAAAACATCAACAACAAATGATGAGGTATGGGTAAAACTTTTTAATTTCAAAGGGCAATTTCTATCACTTCAAATTTTTTGTAAGGGGAAAATGTCTTTAAAAAATTTTCATCTATAAAAGTTATTTTTAATTTTATTCTATTATATTTTTATTTTATTTCTTTCTGCCTATTAGACTGTTTACTAATATCTAATTTTGCTACCTTTTATAACTAGTATTTAAATTATGTTAATCGATTAATAATTAAAAAAAAAACATATACTCCAGCTAAGTTGTATTACTTTTCTTGTCACTAGGCTCTCTCTTTAATTTCTTATCGGCTATCACTGTGTTATGCGATAAATAACTTGTCTGCAGGGTCGTGTGTGTATTTATGCTTGTGAAGCGGAGTTCACATTTTAGACGTACGCTCATGGAGGATTCTTAAGGAGACGTCAAACTCTGAACATGAAGAAGAACCAATGCGATACAATTGCATTCACATATGCTTCGTTGCTCCCCTTCCTTCGCAGATATCAGAGTTTGATGATTGATATTTTTTTCCCGCAATGTTTGAGGATTGATTATTATCTGATAGTAATGACAACTGATATTACTGCCTTTGTTCCTTATTAATTATAACCTACTAATAAAGATTAAGGAACATGACAAACTTAGTGGTTTGAGTAATTTTTCAAAATTTTCAATATTACGCTTAGGTATAGTTGATGAAGAATTAATACTTTAGGTGTCATTCCTTTGATTTTATTTATAAATTATATCCAACATATTTCACACAGACCAACTTTAAACTCTATTAACTCTGCCTTAAAATTCATAAACTTTTCAACTTTATCCTTGTTTAAGATATATTGTATCTCGTGCATGAAAAATTTCTCTTTTTATCCTATAAATAGGACTGAAATTTTTTTTTTCTCTTCATTCAGAATAAATGAATAATAAAATTATACATTCATACAAAGTGATTTTCTCTCTATCCTATAAAGTTGTTCAGAAAACACTTTCGGCGGCGACAAGAGTCGAAACCGCTGAAAAGTCCTTCAGCGGCGACAAAAAAGTCGCCGCAGAAAACACTTTCGGCGGCGACACTCTTGTCGCCGCCGAAAGTGTTTTCTGCGGCGACTTTTTTGTCGCTGCTGAAGGACTTTTCAGCGGTTTCGGCGGCGACATTTGTCGCCGCTGAAACTTCTAAAAGTCGCCGCTGAAAGTATCTTTTAACGGCGACATTTTTAGTCGCCACTGAAAGTTTTCAGCCACGGCTGCTACGGCAACGACTTTTCAGCGGCGACAAAAGTCACCGCTGAAAGTCAATTTTTTTGTAGTGCAATTAGTTAACACTTATCAACAAATGTGTTTACTTGTCTGAAGTTGAAATTATGGATAATTAGGTGGTTATATTAGATTTCGGAGGATTAAATTCGAATTTTCAAGAATTTTTTTTTATTGAAAAAATGAGTCCATATATGTTTAGCCAAAAAGTCGATTTGGTTAGTAATTTTTTTCCCTTAGAAAATTTACAACGTTATTCTTTAATTGTTTTAACAAAAAACATCAAGCCCCCCATCATTGGCCCACCAGACATCAAAGCTCCAATGTCGGTGGCTTGTGGCAAAGTTCCGATGGGTCGGCAGCTGGCAATTTTTTGTTGAACATTTTCAACATTCATAATGTGATTAACAACTCCTATAATGACGTCATTTTGCCACATGTTTTCTAGGTTTCTAAACTAGAATTTTTACAATATTTACAATACAATTAACAACTCTCATAGCAATATTCACAACTTTATCAACACTTTTATAGGATTTTATTTGGGATTTTTTTCAACATTTGTAACATGATTAACAACACTTATAACGATATTCACAACTCTATTAATACCATATGGTTAGGAACTTACTAATTTTTTCAAGTTTAAAAACCTATATAGAGTCATTAACAACATTAATGGAAGTATAGAATTGTGAATATCATTATAAGAGTAAGCAACCATGTTGTAAATGTTGAAAAAATTCCAGTTTAATAAAACTTGAAAATACATGGTAAACAGGATTAATAGCGAATATTATTACAAACAATTAGTATAGTTGAGTAGTTGTCAAAATTTTGGTACTAATTGTTGAATATAAGTTGTTTAATTGATTGTTGATTAGGTTTAGTTGAACTAGGGATTGGTTAAGTTGTTGATTATCTTTAGTTGAATTAGGATTGGAAATTTTGGTAATATTAGCATTAAATTTGAGTTTTGCCATTGAATTATTAATTGAATTTTCGTCGAATTAGGTTTGGTTGAATTTTAGTCAGATTATTGAAAATTTGGTTCTAGTGTTGAATTGATTCAGCATTGGTCTTTTTTGCTAGCTAGAATTGTTTCGTTTTGATTTGGTAATGCAGGAAGGTTGGACATGAATTGAAACAAAATTATGTAAAAAAAAAAAATCAAATTTCTGCAACAGTTATTTAATTAACCACTGAGGACACTATTTCCATAGTGTTAAATAGAAAAATTGCCATGGAAAGTTGGCCATTGATACCCTTTATTGAGGACTTTTCATAGTGGTTATTAGCAAAACACCATCATGAAAAGTTTCTTTTAACAGCGATTTTTCGACCACCATTAAATCCTCAGTTTATTATTGTCACACCACTGTTTATAACTCATTATACATTAATTTGGAATCAATATAAGTCATTTCGTAACACGTTCGGGCTAAAAATTTAAAATTCAAGATCTTACTGTTCATCCTATCCGTACATTGTTCATCCGAAAATAGGCTAACTTTGAAAATTCATAACTAAATCTAAAAAAATCAAAACGATGTAGTTCCAATTTTCACACGAACCTTGCTAAGATTTATATGGAGGAAAAATAATCATTAGGTCCAATTCCATCCAGAATAATTTCAGGAAATTCATCAATGTATACTATTCATTTGGTAAATTTTTGAATTTCCAGTATTTTTGTTTAGGTTTGGAAGGGCATAACTCTTGGAAGTATAGGAATTCATTTTAGGAAATTTATTTCCTGCGGTCTTACCGATAAAGGCCTATCTGGGGATAATTCAAAATAAATAGTTAGAGGTGGAGAAAAATTCCAAATATTTTCAGATCATATCCTTATATTAAAAGAGGATTTTTCATGGAGAGAAATGTATTTTTGGAGGTCTAAAAAATTATGAAAAGTTACAAGTGAATAGTAACTGATAAAACTTCATTATGGTTTAGGATTGAGATCTAATTTGTGGGCCATCTTTTTGGACCATTCTAGACCATTAGTGGGCCCCACATTGGGCTAGGAAAAGGCCCAAAATGTGTGCAAAATCAGGGCCCAATATTTAAGCACAATTAAACTTAAATATCTTGGAACATTCTACGTAATGTACACTTGGCCTAATCTGGAATTTCAAGCTTGTGATGGCAACCATGTGTCCCTCTTATGTGGCACATTTTCATGCCGAGATAGAGGGGGAAGGGAGCAAAAACTTTGCCTATAAATACCCCTTAAAATACATAAAAATAGTTGAAAATTTGACAAAAAAGGGGGAGGTTCTATCAACGTGTTTTCTTGAGCTTGGAATCTAAATTTAGTGAGTGCACTGAAAGAAGAAACCATCAATATTTGATTAAGGATTCATCAAAGTATCTTTGAGCTTTGGTTTAGTTAAGATTAAAGCCTTGTTTTGCACTACCAAAAAATATCTAATTAGCGACAAAATTTACTGACAGAATTTTTATTTAGTGACAGAATTAGTGATGGATTAGTGACAAATTAGCGACGGAATCATATTACCGATAGAATTAGCGACGGAATTGGTTCCATCGCTAATTTTTTCATCACTAATTGGATTATAGATGGAATTAGTGACAGGATTGAAATGCCGTCGCTAATTACTGATGGAATTTTTCTGTCTCTAATTACCGATGGAATTCCAATTCCATCAGTAATTAGCGAAGGAATTCCAATTCCATCACTAATATATTTTTTTAGAAAAATTAAAATGCCACCTCACCTTTGCCGCCACATGTCACTACCTCATCTCCACGTGTCATTGCCACCTCACCTCTACCATCACGTGTCAGTGCCACCTCATTTCTACATGTCACTGCCACCTCAGCTCTTCCGCCATGTGTCACAACCTCATCTCCACATATCCCTGCCACCTCACTTTGCCGCCACATGTCGCTATCTCACATGCCACCTTGTATTGCCACATGTTGCCACCATATAATTCCTTCTCAAAGTGACTTCTCTATGGCTCGAACCAAAGACCTCATTTGTACACACACGCGACTTCACCAGTTGAGCTGTAATGAACTTACTGACTTATTATGCAAAATTAAATATATATATATATGTAATATTCTCTGACACAAATAATTATGTGTACACATATATATTATTAGAAACTAAAAATAAACTATATGATAATTTTAATCATAACTATTTTTGAAACAAAATAATTTTTAGATATTTGTTTTACTATTTATTTTATAATGCTTTATTTTTTAAAAAAATTATTTTAAATATAATATTAATTTCCAAGGACACTAATTTTGAATTTTAAATAGTAAATAATTTTTTCATAAATATATTTTTAAAATTTAATTCTTTTATTTAATATTCATAAGATATAAAATTTAATTATATATTTATTATATTATTATATTATATTATATTAAATATTATATTTTAGTCACGGAATTAGTTACAGAAAAGTATTCTGTCGCAAATCATAATTATAAAATTTTAGCCATGGAATTGGCCACGGAATTTTCTAACAGAAAAAATTTTGTGGCTAATTTCGTGGGTTATTTTAATTATAAAAGTTTAGCAATGAAATTAGTCACAGAATTTTCTGACAGAAAAAATTCCGTGGCTAATTAGCGATAGATTAAATTCCATCACTAATTCCGTGGCTAAGTTTAGTGACAGAATGTTCGTGGGTAGTCCGTCAGAAATTAGCAATGGAAATTATTCTGTCACTAATTTCGTCGG